TTACACCATTGATGACGTCAGTGATAGACTTCGCTCAAACTATTTGATGATCGCCTTCGAAGATTGTTGACTTGAGCATTTTTTTTATTTGGAACGTGTCTAAAAAAGAAAAATAGTTAACGCCAATTTTATTTTCAAAAGGCAATAGCGCCTTCTACGCCGAGCAGTAGATTTCGGTATTATCGTCTTCTGGTGTTGAATAAATGTTGTTAATGATTATAGCGGAAACTATGCTAAATTTTTTAATTGCTTAGAGCGTTAAGGTAGAGATGCAGGTAGGGAGACTATATTTCTAATTGGCTCTAATTACTGTAATTACACGAGTAAAATATACTTTTTACCCATCAAGTTATATATCATTTGAAAGAGTTTTATTTAAACCTTTGAGTTTTTTGGTTTACAATAATGTACGATGATACCATATTAAGTGGTGTTGATTTTGGGTTAAAATCATGCATTTTAGGTGAAAGTGCACTTAAAACTTTTTAACTTTTGAATGCATACCCTGATTTTGATTTAAAAACACTTATTTAAAACTTCTGTTTACTAGGAACATAATGGCTTATTTATTAGTGTTTCCATTGAAAAGTTTTTACACAGTGCTCTTTGAAACATTCACATTTTATAAATCGTTCACAGTTAACAGAGCCGCTAATTGGCAGCTCTATTGTTTCCGTTCCAGTGAAGACAGTGAAACCATACGAAGCCATTTACTTAGGATGGACCTGAATAACGGCCCCTGAAAATTTCATTGAAAACAAAGAACCGTCTAGAAGTTAAATAGTTTTAAAGTTGAAATTTTGAGTAAAAAATGAAACTGAGATAATCGCCATTTTGTAAAAAAAAAGTTTTAAAACGAATCATTCGCTTCATATGTGTAACAGAAACTCATAGAAATACACCATACACCGAAATTTGCTGATGTCAAATCGTCAGGTAAAAAAATAAAATAAAAATATTTACAATTCGGGGGAAACGGACGAAAAATCGTCCGCGAAGTCTCAACCTTGCATGAAAACTGTCATGACGTCGTGTTATCAATTCCACTTACGGAGTGACACAATGGATTACGTAAAGCCGATTAGATATTCATACAGTTATATAAACATAGCGATCGCCATTGGGTGGGTTGAGTGTAAATTTACGCAGTTTCCGTGGACCGTGCGAAGTTAGACGACCAGGTTGAAATGGGCCCTAATATTTTACTACATAACGGCTATTCGCAGTTTTTACTACTCAATCACCCAAACGCCGGTGAAACAAATTCGAAATGAAGTCACATTGGAAGGGGAACTATTGTAAATCGAGGCAGGTTTCATTTAACTACAGACGAGACAGGTCGATGCAAATTAAACGAACCCTGACCCCTGGAAATACCTCATCCATAGAGTTCCTTAGTACCAGAGGTCGCCGATCACGGCCATACAACGTAGTTTGCGACATCGCTACCGGTGCATGCTAGCTGACAAGGGGTTTCCGATTAAGGTAACCAAGATGGCATCGCAGAGTGCAAGATTTTTCCGCGGTGTTTAAAAACAGCATCTCATTGCCGATTTTTCGGTAATTTCTAGGGTTTTATTTTTTATTTTTAATTAACTGAGCATTTTATGTTTGTGTATTTTGACACTGAAAAGTTAGTTATTGATGACAGCGACAGCAGTGTTGTTTGTCAATTGCATCGCAATCCTATCAGCACTATAATCGTTACAGCCAAACGAAAAATGTTTACTTCAGTGTTAAAATGCCGTTGGAGTAAAAATGTGTGGAAATTGTTTTTAGTTTCGCCCACAATGCGAAAAAGCTTGAAATCTATGCACC